TGGACTTCCTGATAGTAAAGAATTACAATAGTCCAGCCTTGAAGTAATCAGATGTGATATCTGCTGGGCTGCTGCCTTCAACAGCTTAGATTATAGGGTTTGGCCTATTTTTTTAGTTTTTAGTCCTGTTTCTTTCTTTGACACGCATTGACTGAAAAAGTCTTATTAAACAAGGATTTGAGATCTGGTGTTTCTTCATTCAGCCAACATTTTATTCCGACACTGCAAGGGAGAGCAGATACCCTGCTGCCAATATTCCTGCCTGTTCGGGTCACAGGTTTTCCACAACTGCTGAAGAAGAACAGGGAAAGATTTCCACTGACAGGATAGACAGTTTCTCACAAACTGAAGCATTTGTTGATGTAACCTTGACAGTCTAGCCTCCTACCATAACATCTAAAACTGTAAAACAGCTTCTTAGGCGTCACTAAGATAAGACCTGTACCTAGAGCGAATACTTTTAAGAGTAAGTAAATAAATATTAGTACTCATAGTTAACAGGAGAAGGGAGGTGATAGTAAATGGATTTTCTGACCACTCATGAAAACTTTCTTACAACTAGTCTGCCTAGTTTCCTGTTTCCTGTTACTTTTTCTGTAAAGTCATCTCAGGTCCCTGTAAAGATTCATTCAACAGTTCAGTTCATTTGAATTAAAGTTGGTCACCAACTCTGTGTTGTTTTAATGTGGGGATCATAAAGTTTGCTGGAAAATAAGAGTGAGAGTTCAAAGTACCTTTATGCCTCCCTTGGTCCTCCTTATGTTCTTCTTCTTGTTGGGATCAGCTTCAGCCGGCAGTTTGCTGCTGTTGGAGTTATCAGACAGCTTCCGAGCCAAGGCTGAAATAAAATCATAATAACAAAATAAAATCAACAATTCCGATAGTTTTTAATTAGCTCAGGTCGCTGAAGTGAAGCAGTAGAAATAAAAGTGAGTCTGTATAAGTTTCCAGCCATAATGCTGAATGTTTGAGTCAGATACTCACCCTGCTGGCCCACCGGTGTCCTGCTGGGGTTCTTCTGTGTGGGACGTTTAGGAGATGACTCCGGCCGCGGAGCAACTGGCTGAATGGGTCTCGTCTGTTTTGCTGATAGCCTCTTAAGGCTTACTTGTCTCTTTTCAATCATCTCCTGAACATCTTCCAGCCGTTTGAGGGCCCTGAGCACATTGCCCTGCAAACCGATCTCAAAATGAAATGGCCAAAAAATATTCTTTAAATCATGAGTTTACCAACGTTATTGTTCTGTGAGGCGCACCTTTATATCCTCTGATAGGACGCTCTCATACTGGTTGTGAAGGTTCCTCAGTTCTGTCACTTGGTTCTTTTCTGCCGACTCCAAAAAGTGTTGGATGTCTATTAAAGCTGATTCTGCCCCTTCCTGGGACTGACACTTATCCACCGCTTGGGAAGCCAGCAGGTAGATCCCTGACTCACACCACTGGTTAATCTAGACAGAAAATACCAACAGCTTAGAGCCCAGCCAGGTTAGGATGCATGATTACAGGTGAATGTTAGACCTGAGTATTTATCCAGTGTAATAAATACGCTGCTGATAAAATCTGGAGGCCAGATAAGCAGCAAACTAAACTCTCACTAAACTCCAGTCACCAATTATTATCAGGCTTCTGCTGCATTAGTAGCAGGTTTGGGCGATGAATGATAATAAATAAATAAATAAATAAATAAATAAATAAAGGAAGCTCATTTACTACGAGCATCATTTACTTTCTCGAACATTAAAGGTTGGAATGTTTAATTCTATATCAAAATTTGTCAGCTGTTTACACAAAGCTTATACAAAATGAAATTTGAGTTTTTACAGTTTCCAGAACATTTCCATTCCTTAAAGTGCAGCAGTGTCAAATGTAAACTTTGGGGGAAAAAACATGGTGCAGCAAACACATCGATGTGGAAGTTCACAGCATTAATATATATGCTGCAAATCTGCAGTATTTGGTTTGGTGTCATCAGTGAGATGCAGAGTCTGAGATTTAGAGTTTTCTCAGCAGTTCATCAGTGTGATGGCGGTGGGGAAGAAGCTGCTGCAGAACCTGCTGGTCCTGCATTGAATGCTGTGAAGCCTCTTCCCAGAGGGCAGCAGTCCATGGTGGGGGGGGGTCATTGATGATGTCAAGGGACAC